CTGTTAACACTACGATACGTTTTAAAATTATCAAGAGGATTAAACCTCTGGCCTGGAAGGCAACCAGCAACCGAGTAAAACTGCTAAGGCAAGCGGCCTGCTTCCTAATCACTCCTTCCTCTCTCTTGCTTGGCAAAAAGCCACAACTTAAGACTTGGCGTTCGCAAGACAAATTTGCATAAATAAGTAAAATCTTTTAATTCTGGCCGGAAGTAGAAAATAAGAAGTGATAGTAAAGATTTAAAATAAAATAAACGTTAGTAAAACTTAAGATCCTTACAAAATGAATGACTTAGAAACCACAACCGAATTAGAAAACACAATATTTCAAATATTCTTATATAAAATTTTTGAGATGACACAGATTAAGTGAATAAGCTTATCACAGTCCTGTATCGAACTCTCTCAGTCAACAGAGAAGACCTTCCTCTAGTAGTAACTTTAACTTCCTGACGAACCTGATAACATGGCATAACCTTCGTACTTTTTTCCTGAAAAATGGCCCAGAGAGTAATGCTCTGTTACCTCTATAAATCTATAAATATTACTACCATGAAATTTCATTAAATTCTTATGAGCAATGTATTCCTGAGCCAGCCACGTTGCTACTCGAAAGAATTCAATATTTTAAGCATAGTAAATCGCCGGCAGAGCTTAAAGCCACAGCACTCTACACTGATAGGTCAGAAAGAGAGTGTGACACTAGCAGTAAGTATGAACAGTGGTCAATAGATGTGGAAAAGAAAGCACAGGCAGCATAACTTCTATTCTTCAAGCTGAGTCGGTTGCATTAAAAGCTGCCTTTGTCTGTGCTTTGGCCTAATGAATATCTCACCATATACATAGACGCTGTCTCTGGTTTTCAGGCAATCCAAAGCACAAATTGGAATAATCCATTTGTCAAAACCACATAGAAAAACTCTTAATAGGCACACTAGCCAAGTTTAGACTCGAATTCGAGTAGCTATATGACCATACCTTGCTCTCAGGCCAAACTTTCGATCCTTTCTTCCGCTAAATCTCTTTTTGTAACTACTGACGAAACTATCGCAATATTACCGCTTATGGTTTTTTACGCATACCGGGATACTTCAATTCTACGAAATACTTGTATGCAGTATCATCCTGTGCATAATCAACTATATGATACCAAAATCTTTTTTCCCATACAATAATTACATAATCCGCTTTTCTGAATGCAAATGCAGTTAGTTATTTCCCTAGTATCTGATATTTTCCGAAGAACTCTGACTCTAGCCAATTCCTTAACTAACGCAGCCTTAAAAACACCAAATTTGTACGCCTCTCTTATGGGTTCCCTTAATAAATTTTTCCCGATGTCTTTGAACTAACTCAGGGTCCTTGCTTTTCAAAAATGGACGTATCGCTACCTTCTGTTGCTCGCCGACTAGACACAAAAGAAAATAGTTTTCCAGGCCTTCCGCATAAGTCATTACAGAATCCATACCATTTGAACTCATGCCTGGCTTCATAATATCTTTAATACACATGAAACTTTCCATCCGACTTGTCGGCTTTCTATCCGCTTGTAACCTTGCAAGAGCTAAGTTGGAAGTTGCTGAATCTCCGGACGTACATTTTAAGAACCACTTGTCTATCTTCTAAGGTGACAGCTACAGTATATGTAGAAACCAAACAACAGAAGGGTTAAAAGTACCCTTTATTAAACTCTTTAAAATTCACAGTGCGTCGACTTGACACTAACACACTACGCCTCACTCGGCCGATAACTCAAATAACAAGAACTAAAGTAAAAATTCGAAGATATTAACAAGTAGTAGAAAATACTCTGCAGAGCTCAGATAAATCATGTTACCTAAAACCGCGTCGAAATCTAGAAAGTAATAGCTGTTACGCCACGTAAACCAGCAATAAATACAGAAATAGAAGCTCACTCTACAAAGGTAATGGCGCTTGTCCAAACTCTCTAACTCTCCTTTCTAGAAAATTTAAAAAAATTTAAACTTTCTAGAAATAAAAACTTAAACTTTTTCTCCGTAAGGTAGAATTTACATTACTTCACACGCGCTACCGAATTTAAATATTCTGGCACTGACAATTAGGCTTATAAGAAAAAACGTAAAATTAAACTAAATTTGCTATTTAAAATAAATATAAATCCCTACAACATAATTATTCACAATGGGCGCCAGTGTACTATTTCAATGCTAAATTCTGGCTCCGTGTAGACAGCCAGACGACTTATTGCCTTAGTTTGCCATAACACCGAACACAGAAGGACGGTTAAAAATATAGCTTTTAGTTCTTCAGATTAACAAAAGTACACAGCTCTTGGAATGACAGTCACTGCTTCTTGAGGAATTAACCTGTAGGGTTTATATTTATTTTAACTAACATTTATTTTAAGTTTAAACTATCTTTCCTGTCAAGCCTTACTTTCCCCTGGAATTGCCATGCCAGAGTATGTAAATTTTAGTAGAAACGCGCAAGGATTCAAATTATCAGCGGAAGTATCTGAGATTAAATAGAAAGCAAACTTTGAGTTTCGTAGGTGTGCTTTCTTGATTCACGAGCGTGAAGGTTTCTAGGTTAGAAATTTTAAGAAACGCGCGTTTCGGTCTGTGTGCTTGCCTCGGCAAATTGTTAATCTTTCAACGCATATTCAGAGTTTGCTGAATAATCAGCGGTATTTAGAACGCGGTGAGGTTAGTTACGTTTAGAGAGCCTCGTAGTTAGTCACTTGTTATTATCTCTTTTCAGTTTCTTATTTTTATTTTACCGCCGGGTCGGCGTAGTTTGTGAGCGTCAAGAGCACGCATTTGTAATTACTAAAGTTGAATAAAAAGGGATTTAAATCCTTCTCAAGACTTTGGTCTATTTCCAGTTCTCAGCAGTCACCACTTTATTGCGTGCAGGTTGGAAGCGCGCAACTTTACAAACCGAACACTAAGTCAAGATAAACCTAAACAATCAAAGTATAAATTCACAAGACAAAGTCCTTCTGCAAGTATTGGCTCAGATCTCTCGAATCACACGATTAGGCAAAGCTAGCAAATGCTAAAGCAGATAAATTTGGAAGCTGGATGAAAATACTTGGAAGGTGGTCAGCAGTCTCTAGCAAAAGCTCTCTCTAAACTTCAAGAAATTTATTCTAAGTTAATTAATTTGCAACTGATGGAAGCCGAGAAACGTAGAAGTTATAGTAAAGATAAAAATAATAAGATATTAGGTTTATAAATATAAAACCTTACAGTCACCTTCATTAGAATTTAAATAATTTAAAAAGAAAGGCTTTAATGATCTTGTTAGAGAATTTTAGAATTCTGAAACTAAGATTGAGCGAAAACTTTTACAACACACTAAAACTAGACGTGTATTTGACAATGACTTGATACTACAATTAATACCTACTTACATTATAACATGTTATTGTTCAGTCTCTTTTCCTTCCTTCCATATTAGTACTACAAATAACACTTTTGATTACACAGATAGTAGTATAGATATGGCTTAACAACCTAGATACTTTCGTGTTATCCTGCACCGTGAAACTCTACCCAAGCAGCGCAGTTTAGCGCCGGTTATGGATAGACAAGCCATAACAACACACTCATAACATCCGCACTTTTGGTTTGACGTAACACGTTCTCGTCACGCACCTTTCATTCTTATGAACAAGGAAATAAATTAACTGTTACTGCTGTAATTTTTCTTGAATTCTGGAGAGGGGGAAATGATTAAAATTTAAGATCTGCCTTCTACATAACAGCAAACAGTAGATTGTTTTCAAAGTTATGGGATTCCACTATCAAAAGGAAAGTCTGCATTAATTGGGCATGATATGATCGGCTGAATATGGCCGACAAAATAATAACAGATTGAAACAATGCTTGCGGGAAATTTTTACTCAGAGAACTCTCAAATTAGCTTCTGATACAATTTAATGGCCTAAAAAATAGTGAAATCAATGAACACTTTTTACGAGGTGCAAAAAATAAAGCGGAGTGAAACTGATTGTTTAGTAACTAAAAAGGCTACAGTATCTTCAGAATTCCATAGAAATGATTGGTGGGAACTCTACCAACTTTGATATTTTGATGGCAGCCAGTCTTCACGGTGGACAGGTTAATACGTAAATACCATAAATACCATAGTTTATTTAACCAATAATTTTCACAACATGCTTTAATACAGCTGAAATCTTTCGCTCTTCAGCTTTGTAATAAGTGAGCAGATGTGTGCCTTCGTGTTGCGAAACGGCAACTTCTATTCCTATCTGCACCAATATCAAACAAGGTGTTACTGGTGAACTTACCACCAGCTTTCTAATAACTTTTCATTTACAGTACACTAAACTCTACTCACTTTCGGCTCTCCTTTTCGCTATAGTGTTCCTTTAAACCACTTGTTCAATCCTCGGCCTCTTTGCATTTCTCTTTCTTGGCGTGCCTTCGTCAGACTACGGTACGATTAATATTTGCTCTGGCCTCTAGCTATCTTGATTAACTCCCGAAGGGTCTAGTTGACTTGCAATAGTCCCCATTTTCTGCGAGTCTTTCCGTTTGAAGTAAAGTACCGTCGCTGCTGAATGACAAAGGGACCTTCAAATGTAGACAACATTTTTCAACCTTAGCCTGCTGGTGAGGAGCCAATAATCTTATTATTGGTGAGCTAGTTTTCTGAAACTTTAAGTAACACAGCAATTATAATTCTAACTTCTGTCGCTATCATACGACTCTGCACAGCTTTTTGGGTTTGACTTTACCTTTTCCTTCAACAGATAATGTTGAGGCTCTTTGCATTCACTTGTGATATTCGAATCAGTATTCTCCATCAATATATTTTATACCTTTGTTTCATATGAAACATCGGCGCCTCATCTTTTCAAAAAGTGTGAGAATGTTTCTTAAATTTAAATTAATGCAATGTTAAACCGGATCAGAATTAATACTATTAGAAAATGAAATAGCTAACATATCTTGGACTTATTATGATCCTGCCAAATTCTTCTTTTTCAGCTTATCTGATGCAAAAGTAAAATTAATTTCTGAAATCAGCTTCAAATGAAGTGGGAAAACTTGGCTCGTCAGCTGACAGAAGTACCCACTGGAACTGGAAGATGCCTTTTCGCTGCCTTTCATTCTTTGGACGATGGGACTTGTTTGGGAAAATATCCCAAGGACTCTCCACCAGTAAATGTTTTATTCTTGTATAACATAATTTTAAAATATTGTCAAGTTTCAGAAGCTTTTCTAAAAATAAGAAATTCATAGGATAGAAATTCAATCATAAACAAAATAAAATTTCTTTTTTATTTCGTTGAAAGAAATCTCCTTGTTTAGAGACTCCTACTGAAGTAATGAATACAAATTGGATCTCTATAAAACATCTATCACACAAATGCTTGAGAAAAATAATCCCTAAGCCAAGGGGCCAAATATGCTGGCCCAAAAGTTCTTATTCAGCGCAACATGCAGGCAGGACCATGACGATCTTTTGCCGTGCCTCTGTTACAGGACACAATGGGGATGGCATACCCCTGCCCCGTTAGATTTTTCAATAATAATTACAAATAAAAAACTTTAATTTAGAAAAAATTACAAATACCCCAGAAATGGGATATCTTGCTATTAGACATAGTAAAATGACCGAAAAGTATGTTGTTTCATTTTCAAATAAAAATTTAGAGGTGATATGTTCTTTCCCTAAGCTTGTTTTTTTATCAAGCATTTTATCTCAATTATATTCATATTTCATTGTTCAGCTTTTAAATTAACGCTGCTAGAAATGATAGGACTATATTCTTCCGAAAATGCACGTGCTTCCTTGCATATCTAGAGATCTCAGCATAGGCTGTTCGCTAGTATAATCATGTATATATATGCGTATATATATAGTAACAATAGATTCGCCATGTGCTGCTGATTTCGGTAGTTTTTGCTCAAAATCGGGTAGGAATGATATGAAAATGTGGTTGCACAGGACATAACGGGCCTGATTTAGCAATTAGAAAGGCCACATTCAGCTGTCGGGCTCTCTTTGCTCACCGTTGCGCTAAGCTCTTCATTCTAGGCCATACAATGCTTTTTATCATGTTTCGTGCTAAGCCATGGAGCTCAAGTTCATTTTCTTCCACCAAACTAATTTAAAAGGAAAGAATGATAGTTATCGTGTCTTAGTGTTTCGTGGGAAGTTGAAATTTTTCCTTAAAATTGCTCATGTCAGTTTATTATTTCATGAAGAAACATGAAGGTGTTATGTGTTTACTTACAGACATTTAGCCGTCTCATCCATGTCCTAAAAAATGGTAGTTTGTACAATGACTGCTGATCTGTAAATCTATCAGTAAACGCATACTTTCGTCAAATAACTTTAAAAATTGCGATGTCTTCCATTGCTTTCAAAAATCAGTGAAGTACGCTCAGTATCAAAAGCATAAATAAAATGCACGAATATCGATATGACATATATTTTTCAAATATCCCAAAATAACCAACGAATAAAAGTTATATAATGAAGGATACCCAAAATATATATCGAATTTCAGCTAATAGGACTGCAGAGTCATCAGATCTGTCGAAGCAGAAAACGTGTAAACATTTAAAACACCCGCTCTGGGATTCGCACTTCGGACTTCTTGATTGCTAGCCAATCATGTTTCCAATTACACCTGAAAGACACGCGGTGAGTTTGGAGGAAATACCTCACATTTTACGCAATTTTAAAGGGCGACTGTGGACCTAATTACCAAATCTTAGTGGTGAAGAGTTACAGTTCATCATATTTTAATTTAGGCTTTAGAAACATTAAATTTGTGAACACAATAAATATGGAAAATACACAATGCCCTCGCCGAGATTCGAACTCTAAACCTTTCAATTACTAAGCAATTACCCCACGAATGCATTTGGTAAGGAGTGAGAAAGTGCTTTACAAGATAAGCAAGCTTAATCCTTCTTTTGACATCATTTAAATCTTAAATTGAGGTAGAATTTCTCTTGATTATATTTTTGTAATATAATACAGTTTTATTCTAATTAATAATCTGGCTTTAAAAGCTTTTTCTCTATCTGTAATCCTTTCTTTCACAAAGAGGCACTTCGATAGCATGTAAACTCTTCTCAATGGGTTTCGTTTAAGTTTATGTGATTCTAGAACCTTTGCACTAGCTCCTGCTTATACCTCGACAATTTCACACCTCCATTTCATTCAGCCTGGGACTCTCACCACCACTGCCAATACAGCAGTTAGCTCACGGAGATGTATATTCAGTGCTGGATCTTCATCATCTACTTCTTCATTTTTTACATCATATAAGGACTCTGTCATATTTAATTTTCCTTCGACTGCCATATTGCTAACATTTGGCCTTTGCCATTCTACTGATGAACTTCACATTCGTACTTCGATTTGCCATATTTGCTTTTACAAGATTTTTTTTCTACATTTTACGACTTCCTACTTATGCTATTACAACATTCCGAAAATAAAAACTATTGCTACACTAGAAATAGGGCTATCTTTAACTGAGATGTAACTGTAACTATATCTCATTTAGTAGCCTAGTGGAGTTCTACACTTGGTCGCGTGCAGACGCAGGCTTCTTGTTAACTTGTTTTTGTTGAATTTTAAAAGTTTTTAACCTTGTGAAAATGACTAGTAATTTGATTTTATTAAAAAAATTAGTCTCTAGAATCAATTAGTTCTCGTCCAGTATAACGACATCTGCAGTGACCAAATTACTTGATCCATTACAACCTAAAAAGGGGTTAATGATTATTAAAGCAGAGCTTCTAAATGCAGCAACTCTTATTTTGAGAGGAGGGAGGGGTTAAGAGCAGAAAAAGAGAGGGGTAATAAGAAAGAAAAAATGTCGTTGAAGTAAAACATTAATGGCTCTTGGCAGATTTTCGTAATAGAAGATTTTTCATTTTAAATTTATTTTCGATGTTAGGATGAATACTAAATCAAAAATGTATTAACATCCCTGTACATAAAGTCACTTAGCAAGCTATTCCATACAATGAATACTGTTAGAAATGAATTTAACCACTATATGCGAAAATATTTGCCTCATTCAGGGAATGCATGTAAAACCTCTTGATTCACTGGCTTCTTTAAATACTCTGACAAATTAGTTACTTAAACTATCGTCCTGATTTCTTATATTCTTTTTTATTTCTTAGCAGCTTTAAAAGTTTGCTAGTAAAGGTATCACTAACGCAGTTATTTTTCATTTATTCTTCTTGATATAGTAGATGCTATTTCAAGTTTTGTTATTTAAAGCTGAAAATATATTTAAATTCATAAGTGATATAATACTCTTGCATAAGAAAACAAACTTGAAGTAAGTTAAGAGAATTTGAGTTGCGAAATACGTAGCAGAAAAGACGGCTTGCTTGATATAAATATTTTTTAACTGTTCTTTATTTTTGGTTTACATCAAATTTGAAAACTAAATTCCATATCAATGTTTGAGACATGTGTACTAGATTTTGCAAGTTTTCTTCTACACTCCAAGATAATGATCATAACTTCCAGATTCCAAGATAATGAATAAGTTTTTTCGAATGCATATATAATAGTGAACTTGAGCTATAAAAAGCTTTTTTCATTGATCTTTGTGTTTTTCAAATACATATTTAGGAATATTTCAGGTTAAAACCGAGGAGATTTTAGAACTTAAGAGAGCCTTTAAAGATCCCACCTTGCTCTATTCCTCAAATATCACTTTAAGAGACATCAAGTTCACCTATGTTAAAGTAGAAGGAAATGCATTACTGGGGAGGACCTCACAGCTTGCCTGTATCGTCATGCAAACGGATGACGGTGAGTGATGTTTATTACTAAACATCCCAATTAAGAATCAGTTACAGGTATCTTATTATATGTATTTCTTGGTTTGCATACCGTATTTTCCTTCACTTTCTTCCCCTTCGCATATTTCTCCTAGCGTTTTCAGCATGCGATTTAGAAAATTATGACGCATTTATATAATTTCCTCTTTAACATTATTTTTCCTTTTCATAGAGATCAAAATGTAAATGGAGCTTCAGGCGACAGTATATTACGAACTGGCACCTGTTCAATAATTCGTTCTATGCTCTTCTAGTAGGTCAGATGGAATGGTATAGTAATGAGTTCCATGTAATTGCTGAAGCAGTAAACAGTTCAGTAAATGTTAGAAAATAGAATAGAAAAAGAAAATAAAAATAACTCTTACTGCAGATTCATATTTCAAGATGTATTTATGAAGAACTGAAATAAGAGGGCTTTGTACTCTATGGGAAAGGACATCCCCTGTTCTGCCAAAAGACAAAGTACTTGCAAATCTAGAATGTTATTCCCATTGTCGGTCTCCCTAGTATCCATCTTTAGCCATTAGACTACATAATCACTGGTGATATACCTTGAAGTATTATTGTGTAGCTGGTTAGCTGATTTAATTTGTTATTTAAATTTTTGTAGTTGATTGGTTTTCTATTCAAAGTCGTTTAATTTAATTTACTATTCATTTTATTACTTTGAATATATTTATTGTTTCATGATTTTAAGATCTAAAGTTTTGATCTTGAGTTGTAATTATTTTACTTAAACTAGTAATTGATAATGATTAATCTTTTGAAAATTTTCAAGGAAAAACTTATGATAGTTAATTTCTGTTTGAAAACTTAATTCTTAATTTAAGTTTTGTTTGGTTTTTGAATTTTATGACGTTTGTTTGATATGGTAAACGGGATTATTCTCCTTAAGGTTTACTAATTTAAAAAATTTTTGATTTTATATTACACTTAATTGATTTGCTAATTTTAATTTGTTCTAATTTTTCCCTTCCTTCCTATGAAACTAAGATTCTTTATTTTATGGATCATCTGTTTAACTTGGTAAAAAAATTTTTGTAATAGTAAAGAATTTAGTACTTAGAAATGTTCGTAATGGTAAAGAATTTAGTACTTAGAAATGTGTTAGAAATGTTCGTTGTGAACCACGAATTTTGGGAATTGCCCGACGGGAGAATACGAGCCTCAAGTTTTCTACCCAGACTACCATTTATAATCCCTCTAGTTGCTTTTCTTTCTTGCAGGTAAAACTATGAGTAAACGCCTTGGCAACTATAAAAATTCTGCTAGCCATACTCTTCCTTGGTACTCTCCTCGACCCCAGTATCCCTGTTGTTCAATATGGATATAAGGTTTTTCTTTTATTATTTTTTCAAAATGAACTGAAGTAATTAGATGAAATAAGAGACTTAGCGATTAGTAATTGAATTTGAAAGTCTGTTCTGGTGATTAGACGGTCTATTTAACTTGAAAAGAGAAAGCGTAAAAAATTTTTTAATTATGTCTTCTTTATAGTGAAAAAATGTTTTAGCAAAATTTGAACCTTATTATGTTCTTTATTCGTTATTATCCGGATCCATTATTTGCCTATTGATTTATATAACAATTGTATTTCCAGAAACGTAAGTTTCCCAATGCCCACCGGCTCATAGTTTATCAGATGTTTAACTGTATTCTATACTACGTATTTAAGAAAATCATACTTTTGCCGAAAATGTAAAAATTTAGAAAGGGGTAAAACAAATTAAAATTCGGGGATGTTCATCTCCCCTACGGTTGATTAAGGTATGTAAATTTACTTTGTTTGTTATAAGTAAATGGCACCAGCTGCCACTTTATATCCTCTGCAGTTCTTTTTATAATTAAGATTGTAAACATTATCCTCAAAAGTACTATATAAATAATGTAATTTTTTTTAACTAAAAGCAAGCCTTTTCATTCAGTTGCTTTGTTTTACACAAACCATTAGTTTACACTGGACTGTTTACTAGGTTATATCATCTAAGTAATTTAACACAGTACAATATTTATGTTATAATGTTCCGGACACCTACTACCCACTTGTTTATCTTTGAAATTATACGAGCACTCTAAATACTCAGAATTATAACAGTATCTTTGGGCCTCAATTTGGCGGTCAAGAGCCTTGCAGCAGTTTTGAAGTGAGGTGTTCAAAGTTAGCCAGAGCAGTTTTTTTAAAACCGTGTCAGAACAAGTGATGTTTTAGCGTTGTATAATTTGATGTTTAGTGACGTATTACCTGTTTATATAGGTGTCTGTCTTATATGTCCATTTGCAATACCTATACCTGGAATGTCTTATGTTTAGGTACCATCTGCAAATATCATTCCTTTGTATTTCTTAGCAACATTATGCAACTAGCCCCTGTTTATAGCATTGTATGCTTTTTACATCTCTGAGCTCTCGATACGATCCCCTTTGGGCCCCAGGAGATACTTGTCTTAGACAATTGCAGGCTCCAGTCAATACTTGAATAATTTATGTAAGCAGCCTGGGAGTCCGGATCCGCTTTGGTTAGTCTACATTTTAGCGTGCCCCTTGGATTATCGCCAAGTTGTTATTTTATTTAGCTCCAAATTGTTGAAAAAGAAACACCGTCAAATGGCTGTATGTGATGAAATTAATATGAAGCTTCTGTACGGTTTGAACGAAAGGAAAAAAAGCATTAATTAATTGGTGTGTAAATGAAGGTTTACTGGAGTCATTATAACTGTCCTGTTTGTACGAAGGAAATGCGTATGGTCGAACGTAAAGTTCGTTTAGATGGCTTTGAGTGGGTTTGTCGCAAGAAAAGTTCATACAAGAAATGCCACCGACAGTCCGGCACTATCTGGGATATTTTCTGCTCTTATTTTTGTGAATTTATGTGATGACGGCAGTATGCATATTCTAGTTTGGATGATTTCAGAAAGTTTTTGGATGCTGTTAATGAATTCTGTGTGCCACAGACTGAAGACACAGAAATTTCTAAACAAGGTAAGTCGATATTTCCTTTTTGTAGTGAGTATGTGCGATAATATCTATTTCCTTTTTTATGTTATTTCATTGTATGATTTAAAATGCAGTTTACTGAGCTTCCATTGGCTACAAATTTTGTTCAGTGTTGGTGATGAGTAACTTTGTTTTAACATTATATGACACTATTATTCTCCTGATGTTTTTTAAGTGAAAATACATCGATGTGTACATGAACAAAGGGCTCAATGCCGAGTTTGTGCAATTCTCTATGTTTTTATAAGTTAAAATAGATCGATTAGTACATGGACACCGAGTTTGTGCAATTCTTTGACTTGTTATTTTGGTTTTGTGTAGCGGCCATCTTGAAATTTTGACTTGCTGGCCAATCGCCAAAAATAGCCAAGGGACACCCTTAAATATATTTTTACCCCTGCTTTCACTATCACGGTTTGTCAGTTCGGGTGACTGATTATAGATTAGGACTGTTTGAGAACAATGTTGAATAAAGGTATTCGCAGTTTTACCGTAGAATTTAAGTAGCTAATGTTAGAGTATGCGACAATGAATGATCCTAAAGCCCCGCAAAATAGTTTGTTATCGAACCTAATATGACAAACAGAAAAAAAATACATTAACGACCATATTTGTTTACAGAACTCATACGTATCTGAAATCAGGACTGTATAAAATGGAATCTAGAATTTCCTCCTGAAGTATTAAATTATATAACATCTAAAATACAGAATTGATTTCCTAAAATTATTACGTTGGCTCTAGTGTAGAATTGGGTGTCCCTTCGATTAGCGACAAATTTTGTTCAGTTTTGGCGATGAAACCCCATTCATGGTTACCATGATAGTTTATAAAGACATTACGATTTTTTGGAAGCAAGAGTGATTGAAAAATTAGCAATGCCTTCGCCGGGAGTCGAACCCCGGACCTGTGGAATACCGGCACAGCGTGCAGAACCACTACACCACGAAGGCACGCTAGGAAAGCAGGAGAAATACCTTATATACTCCCCCTTTTTAAAGGGTAACTTGGGGTTTTTAGGGGACCCAATCGCCAAATCCTGGGTGTGTAGAATCCTCATCCAACACCCTTTTAGTTCGGGTGCCACTACAGAGACATCAGGATTTTTTGGAAGCAAGGGTGATTGAAAAATTAGTAACGCCTTCGCCGGGAATCGAACCACGGACCTCTGGAATACCGGCCCAGCGTGCATAAACACTACACCACGAAGGCACGCTAGGAAGGTGGTAGAAATACCTTATAGTTTTAAATATGTTTCAGCTTCCTGATTTTTTTTAAGTAAAAATAGGTCGATGTGTACATGGACAAAGTTAAGGCAGTTCGCAATGCCTAATTTGTGCAATTCTCTGATGTTGTTTAAGTGAAAATAGATCGATGTGCGTATGGACACCGAGTTTAAGCAATTCTCTTACTTCTTATTTTGGTTTTGTGTAGCGGCTATCTTGAAATTGTGCCTTCCTGGCGCCGATCTTGTCTTCCAAAAGGAATCACCAAAAAAACAAGAAGCACCCAATTGTAAACTTTTACCATTACGTTCACAGAACAATTTCCCCTTTTTTGATTTTCAACCTATAGAATTAATAAAAGAGAAATGAAAAATACGCGATTAAATGCGGTATCTATAAATCTGATATATCAGATTTCAGTGGCTTCGATTCTGGGAACTGTACTTCATCATTTTCCAGTGGCTTCGATTCTGGGAACTGTACTTCATCATTTTCTTCATGCTCTTCTAATATAGACTTATTAGAATTAAAATATAAATTGAATATGTTTGTTAAAAGTAAAAAAGTTATTTCATTAAACTCCAATTAAAATCTGATCATGATCGTAATTTTGTTCGGTAGCTGTTGGCTTCAGTTGAAGACTGAATTATATTCTAATTTCTATCACGATGAAAACCACATTACTGTAACGGAACGTCCCTACTTATTTTCCAATACGCATATTCTTTATAGGATGGTAATGTCTTTAGAT